ATTGTAAAATTCAGCTCCGCTTTCCCATGAGTGCAAACAATTAAGAAACGTGGAGGTTACCCACAAGGCTTCATGAGCGGCAGTACTTGTCGCGGCATCGACAAGCGCCGCTCATCGGGCCGTGTCTACACCGGCTGTAAGTTGAAAACTAATTAAACTTTATCTTGTCGGGTGCAGACATCCATACAACGATGTTTACTTCAATTGCGTCTATTATATGACTTGTATCGTCTGTGTTTGTGTATTACATGTATTGTCGCCCGCGACTCTGTTTGCGGTATTCAAAAACCTAATTTAATAGCCTATATGTTCTACGTCTATGCCATTTCAGCGAAATCCTTTTAGTTGTTGAGATAGGTGTAACAAATATCCATCCATCCAAGTTTTCGGATTTATGACATAAGTAAGGAATAACATTGTTCTAGAGGAGTAACATGATTTTTGTATTGTTTTCAATTATATCCGCTTGACTAGGGTTTGGTTCAAAATTTGCAAATGAAACACTCTTAGCGTTCACAGCGTCCGTTTGTATCGATTTTATTCGTACGTTCATCACATTCTTCTAAAAACACTGGTCTGTTTCAATCGGTGTAGTTAAACAAAGGTTACGTGTATGTATTCTCGTGCACTCTATTGTTTCTTATTTTTTTGATAAAAATGTCGAAGAGAACTGAACATGGCGTTAGTAGAATTAGCTCATTCAAGAATATTACGTGTTTTAGCTATAGCGATCTAATAAAACTTATAAGCATTATAGGGCCATAGTTTGTTAGTTAGCGCCTCAAACTTGAATCTCTTGCGGCAAACAGCATTTAGCGAACTCCTAACTACTGTTCACCAATTAGTAGTTACCGAGTGCAACCATACTGTAGTTATTTGTGTGGTTAAAAAGTGTATTTTCTATCATAACCCATCAACCGTCTACTAAACAAAACCTATGAATGTTTTTATTTTACTAAAATCAATATAACGAACCGATGCGAGCTCAACTTTTCAATCTGTTCAATCATCCACTCTGTTACCTATATTTATGTTCTATACTAGTTGTTGCTCGCGAGTTCGTTAACGCTGAATTTACACATGAGCCCCACCTTCCAGCAAAAACCCGACATAGTCGGTCTTGTCATTTCGGAGATTACCCGGAACAAGCGCAGACTTGCGCACACAGGAAAATTTTAAATATTAGTATTTCGTTTACGTGTACAATGTTTTTGTATTACGTACACTCAAATTTTATTAGCTTTACAGACAGATTTTTATACATATAGATAACGGTGATAGAGCCCGCTTTAACAACTTCGCTCGAATTACCCTGTGCAATACCTCGACCACAAGAAGACGGGATTAAAGGGGAAATATCCTCTTTATGTTCGTCTCTTCCTATGTCGATTAAGGGTAGGCGTATGTCTATAGGCCGATGCTTCGCTTTTTCGGCGAATTCATCTGGCCGCTCACTTGTTTGCCACATATCATATACAAAAAGAGAAAAAAAAATATCATTGCATATTGCAACACGAATATTTCATAAATCGTATATTAAAAAACGTCAAAGTGATTTTTTTTTGCATGACTGCTCTAACTAAATATTTAACGAATTGGTTGACGAGCTATCGTGAATTTATATTTGCATTTTTCGACGACCTGCCGGCCTCGATGATTCATTTTAATTCAATACAAAATTGCTGTCATCACGTAAAAACGGCGTATTAAAATAATGTCAATCTCTTATTAATGTATTGAAGCGGCTTAATGATGATTTATTGTAGGATAAATTATATACTGGGTTATAGTGTGTTATCTATGAGGTAAGTGTTGAAGTATGTGCATTACTGACTTCTTTTGTAGATATTGTGAATGCTTGTTTGTTTTCATACAATAATTGAAATAGTTTGTTGTGTGTTAATCGGATACTTACTTATTCGTATTTGAACAAATTAATTGTTCATAGCTGTAATATTTAGAAGTTAATAAGCTGAAAATCAAAGTAAACGTGATGATTTAAAAAGAACGTAAGGAAAGGAATCCTTTTAAAAATGGAAAAATCGTATCAATAGTAGCAGAACTCCGGCTAAATCAACTTTTAAATCGCTGCGGACTTAGAGCGATGTAATACTCACAGAGGGACTAATGCAACAGCAATAAGCGTGGAATTAGGTTTGCTCACGGCTTCAGTACCATCGATTTTTGTACAAATAAAACCTAGCAGTTTCGTGGAAAACTCGTTTTCATCTTAACGTTTTTGAAAATCGAATATGTCATGTAAGTTTAATTTGACATTACGACGACATAAAAAGTTAAAGGAATCTTTTCGAATTGATTACCTACATGTTTACATGATTTTATTAAAAAGTATACTTGAAACATAAAAAGCTTTTAGTCCCTTCGGTGGTAGATTAAAATAAAAATCTCTGATATAGAAAATATACTAACTATCAACAACAGCCACAGTGCTTTGTTATTTTCACTCTGACTATGTAAGTCCATAAAAACTCTTTCGAAAATGAAAATTTAGTCGTAATGGCTTTCTGTGTCACTCCGTTATCAAGAAGTGACAATCATGTTAACACGTTAATGTAGTACTTATCTTTTGTGGACTTCCTAGTCCAAATCAAATGCATAACGTTTCGAGTATATGTAAAACTAATATGAAGTCAATTTTATAAGAAAATTTATATTAAACCCGTTACTAAGAGACACTTAAGTTGATGCAATTAAATTAATATTATCTTCTCTGTTTAATAGAAAAGCAGTTCCCATTGTGCGGACTGCCGATCCGTTCATGCTTTATATTTTTAAATATATTTAAAATACCAATCTTATCGTAAGTAGTTTACGTGGTATTCAGGGATGCAGACATTCCATTCAAAGACGGAGCTCTGATTTGCGTTTCGAGTACATCTTGTATTTCCGGAGCGAGCATCTAGAGAAAAATAAATCGTACAGGGATTTTAAATATGATGTAATTTTATTTATGTTCGTTAAGCAAGCGCTTGACCACGATCCCATTCATGATTTAATGTTTTGCAATTTTCATAGAAAATTGAATTTCGCGCTTGTTGTATTAAAGGGTGACATAGCTTTAAGCAGTCGGTAGATACAGACAGGTGCAACCGGTCGACGTTGGACGATCACCAATTAACGTTCGCCATACAATGGAGGAATTATAGCATTAGTCTCTTGAAGCCGTCCCTGTGCACCACTTACAGACATTTAATCACATTTACACACTCAATACAATTTTCTATATAAGTAACAGTCACACAGATATGGATACTTATACACACAAACTTTAATTTCAATAGAATTCTACATACTCTTACATTCTTTTATGTATCCGACGGATTTTGTAGTACTGTTCCAGGAAATAGACAGCATTTTAATATTTTAGAGTATTTTTGTTTCTTCATATTAAAAATATTTTTGCTAACCCTCTGTGAATTTTATTTCGTTATTCAAACAACTCCTAGTTTTATATCATTTCTTGTATAAAATATTTACTTTATTTTGATTACATTTTTTCGCAGTTTGACGGAACTGCATCTAGTTAATAAAACATCTATGGTGGTTAAAGTTATCTATATCAAAAATCTTTGTCAAAGAGTGCGTAGTGGAAGAAGTCCAAAGTGAATTTGTTTGTATGTCACCGGCAAATTGTAAATACTTTGTAAGTAAAATACCGGCAATTTGTATGTAAAATAAATTAATTGACTGTTACTTCGATACCTTGCAGACAACAAAGGATTGTAGACTTGCGGGCCCTGATGGTAATAACTACTAAGGCGATTTTTACAAAATACTTTAGAAATGCACCAGCTGACTATAGACAGTACTATGAATATTAAATTCAAATATTCCCCATTTCCTCATGTTCCGCTCAAGTTGATTTTTTTTTCTTTTATAAAAGCCTTCTGGCAATAATAAACACAACAAAAAAGGAATACAGATTTTGTTCCGTCTGTTCAATCGTGATGCGATGGCCAAGGGAAATAGAGATACTTTTTTTATTCATTCGAAATGCAATCTACCGAGTCCTTACTATTTGCCAGCGACATATTGTGCATGTGCATGTACAAATATGATTGATCCGGCTAAAGCCAGACGGAATAGGGGGCTTTTCAATGCCCGCTTTGTGTTTTTGTAATCTCAATTTTCTTTGAGTATTAATAAAACATCTAAAATTTGTTATTATTAAAAGGGATGGGCATATTAACGATGAGAAGCGAATGAATAGTTTGTTTATGCATAGATATATAATTTAGTATAAGCTATTATGTGTTAATGTATCCATTAGTATAGTTTCTCTTTCTTTAATCGTCTCTTGAAGTATTAGCCGAATCTTCTATTTAATTATAAAATAAAGAGTATCTGTAGGACACTGGTAATGTGCCCGTCGTGCCTCGATTCACGAATTATGACTGAACTTGACTACAGTGTTATTGTTTTATTAAATTTTCGTAAATCTGTCCTCTCTCCTAAAAATTCTATCCAAAATTATTTTCTTCATTTTATTTCCAGTCTTAAATGTAAATGTTTTTACTTGTTAGAGCTTGCAAAGTGCAGCACGATTGAAGTAACGGCGAAATGGCAACAATACGGAATCAAGTATAATTTGATTATAAACATGCATGTCGAGTTCGCTGCCTCAGTGTTTCATTAGTTAAATTCATAGCGTCTGTTTGTCAATACAATTTGTGCTTATTCAAGAGCTGTGTGGGTGAGATTTTAATAACAAAACGACATCGAGCGCTCATACTTCTAGATTTTCTACCACTCCTAGGATTGAGACTGCTTTTATAAAATTTTGTTAGGGCAATTTCTAATTTTAAATTAATTAAACCATAATTAAGGAATTTATAAAATAAACATTCAATTGTTAAAAAATCGTTTCCTTCGAAAAACTTTTAATGGAGTACCTCAAGATTATAACTAGGTAGGTAGTAGTGTGTAAGTTGGACTTCTTTTTATTTTTTTTTCTTTATTACTTGTTTTTCTTTCTTTAGCCTTCTTGCCCAGAGAGGATAAGATGCAGCAAAGTATAGCGGAGATGCAAACCCACCTGCAATTCCTTGATTCGCTTTACCGCGCACGTCAGGAGGACCTGATTACTTTGCAGGTTAATTATTGAAAATTTATTTTATAACATTATTTGGCTTAGTGCTAGGCAACAACTAATCACAATTCTGCACCAGTGACAGTCTTTTTATTTTTGAAAATCAATGCCTTAAAAAAACAGGCATAGAATTAATGAGATGGTGCTTTCTGATGTTAAGTGGGATGGTAAATCTAAGCTTACTCCACCTCCATTTGACTATAAGTTCAAGTAAACATTGCAATAGGCTGAGCGTATTGTTTGATTCTTTTACAGAATAAAATCCTCGCAAGTCGCTGTTTCAATGAAAGTCACCGTCATCAGCCGACGTCGTACAGCGATACGGTGACGGTTACTATTGCTCCGGAAATTTTGACCTCACTGAAAAATCTTAGCGGTATGGCATACATTGAAAGCACAAACCTTCAATTTTTACTATGCCTTTTTGAACACCTTTAATGCCGCAGACTTGCATAGCGAGTTCGTAAAAAATCGTAAGGGCACTGTTTGTGTTAATCTCATATTTCATGTTGTTTTACTCTATCATTTATTTCTTTTTCTATTTTTTTGTATGACCTTCTATGTCCAACCAAACAAAGATGAAAGATATATTGATAAACACTTTATGTCAGTCTTCATTCGCGAAAATAGAAGAATATTGACAACGTATAGTTTCCTTTGTTTATTTATACATTGTGAACTTTACTAATTCGGTTAAGCCACGATTCCGTTAGCACTGCTTTTGCGTGCGTCTTATAATGCTAAAAATATAAACTTGAATAGTTCGTTGTTCAGTCACGATTTGTATTATCACACTTTAACATACAGGGTGGTTCTTACGAACGGATCAACGGCTTTGTGGACTTAGAGGACCGCAACAGCTATCGTTTATGCGCAAAAATGAACAAAAGTTGAAAAAATTTAAACTTTTCGAAAAATTTAAATTTCATGTCTTTTGTATGAAGTTACAAGAGATTGTTGCCCTCGATTGTTTTTAATCGTTTTCTCATATGAAAAACAAACGAAAGGCGAAAAGAATTTTGTGGTTTTATTCTACAGGCATGAGTGCAGTTTTTGAAAAAAATTCTAGGAGAAAAAGGTGGGGTAAAAAATTAATTACAGCTCCTTAAAGATAAAGAATGAAATTTTGTATTAAGAAAATTTTCAATAATTTGTATTTAGTTCTCATGTGATTTTTTCAGAAAAAAAAGATGAAAAACGGTGCGAAAGCCAAAATATTAGATTTGTTTTAAATGACCACTGTAAACACATTTCTTTGGAAGTACGGGAAAATTTTAGTCGGAAATCTGATTTTTCCAATTAAAAAAAATTGAATAAGTCTTTAAGTATAAAATCAGGCTTTATACTTTGTGCTTAAATGATAACTATTGAGGTCCTCTAACTCCACAAAACCGTTTATCCGTCCGTTAAGAATCATCCTGTATAATATGTTTCCGCACACTCGGTAGGTCGGTACACAACTTCTGCATCACGAATGCAGATTGAATTGTCGAATAATGTACATTCTTCTAAGAATGTTTTACATTTCACACACTCTGATGCAAAATAACATTACTTACAACGAAATTCAATAAAAGAACTCGTTATGTTTCTGTGTTTAAATCCAAGGTGAAAATATCTAATAAATTTCAAATGTAAGACAGGCGCCTTTGGCGCACTATGTGTAACATTTACCGTAGATACTTGACATAATTTATGCTCAAAGGAATGTTATATACAACATTTTGCACTCAGTGCGGAGTTAAAGTAAATAGTATGAGTGCCTCATCTCGTCCTTGATGCAACGTGCTATAAATATGAGATTAGCATGTTCAGTTGTTAATTAAATCATTTTTACCGTACTGTAAAAACCATATCGAAACAAGATTTTCAGTAACACTTGTATACTAACACTGTTGCTATCTCAGTTCTTTTTAATGATTATGACCGGGATGGCAATATTGTTATACATCTGTTATGAAAATGGAGATTCACCTCACGTGTATGTAGTCTTCGTGTATATTCGTCAATTAAGTTAACACGCTCTCGATGTTATTCCTTTATTTGTTCATGTTTTCCGCTGTGCGAGTTCTGCTATGTTTTTATTTTACCTCAGCTTTTCCGGTCTTTCAATTTGTTAAGTGTATACCAAATTGATTTTCAATGGCAATTACCTAAATTATATCGCACTGCAAAATATAAAAGATGATTAATTGAAGTGTATGATATTGTCGCGTTGTGGATATTTTATCAGCAGTCGAAATTGATTGAATTAATTAAATTTCGGTGTAATGGTTGATAATTTATCAATTGTATATTTTGTTCATAGGAACGAAGGCAGCGCAAGGTGTTCAGCCCAAAAATCTGCAACTTTTTCGTACCCCTTTTGTGTTTCAACTACTCCCCCACCTGATGAATGACCCAAACAGCCTTCGCCCCTCTTATCACATGAAGTCCGGCCGAGTGTTTGTCGACGTTGTTATCGGTATACCGACAGTTAAAAGAGATAAGGAGAGCTATCTCTTGATTACGCTTACGGTATGTGTAACATAATTTTTTTTCATCAATCAATATTCTTGTTTACTAATTTAGGAAACATGAAGGTAGGCAGCTAAAGATATTGTTGAAAGCCTGAATTATTGCAAAAGGTTATTACAAAAATATGATATGTAAATGTGATAAAAGGATATACTATAATTATTTATAATCTGTGTTCAAATAAATAACAATTTTCTGAATATGAAAAACTCAATCTAATTTCTATTATGACTGATCAGCATTCAATTTATATAACAATGCAGCACCTGGTGAACGGGTTGACTGAGGACGACGTGAATACGACTCTCATCGTCGTGTTTGTCGGCGAAACTGATTTGGAGTACGTTGTAAGCATCGCTCGCCAGATTGAAACTGCGTGAGTAGATTAATTTATACACTTAAAATATAAACTCAACGGATTAATTACAATTGAAATAGTATTTTTTTTTTGTTTTTCAAAACTTACGTAAATGGTTTAAAGCGATTTTGTAATTTTTTTTACACAATAGTAACGCACCCATACGTTTAAAAATCTGTAAACTATTGTTTTTTTTTTCCATTAAGAATTTCCCGTTGAAAACTAGAAAAGCTCGGAGATACCAAGTTGCCATTTGTTTACCGCTCCCTAATCCGCATTAGCAAAACCACTAGAGATTAACTCGTTGTTTTTGTTTTTTTGTCTGGAAACAAAATGCTTCTGCACAATTTTAAGCGCCTTACATATTTTTTTAAAAGCTGGATAAATTAATTGCTATTTAAAAACAGATGAACATTTATAGCATTTGTTCCTTAGAAGCTTAGAGTAATTCAACTTACATTTTGAATATGAGTTTAGCTTTGATTTAATCTACCACTTAGGAATATTTTATTTTATTCAATCAAGCAAAGATCATTTATTCGAGCGGACATTCGGCTACCGTCAGATTTATCCTACGTGACAAGATAGGCCTGCTGAGGCATTCAGGCTCGAAATTGGCTTGATTATCTGACATCCAATTGAATCAATACCGTCCTAGCTTCACTCTGTTTGCACCTGACAGGCGGTAGATTACATTACGCTGCTAATGGACAGTAATCAAAATTAAACTAACTACGAAAACCCTTTGTATTTTACGAACATTTATCTTTAGCTAACAATGACAAATAAAGGCTTATTTCAAGTAATATTTCATGGAACTATTGGAATACATTATATTTTTTGTAACACAAAATTGATAACTGTTTGTAAACTTGAATAATCTAATAAGAATATTTCCTTGATACTGTAAAGGTAGATTTCTCATATTAAAACGAAAGAGTATTCGTCTCTGAATAAGGTAATAAAAAAAAATGTGCTCGGTCGAACTTAGCAGGAGTCCTAAGTTGATTAAAGGCAGGCATCGCATTAAGTTGCTGATCTCAATCGACAGCGGTCGCTTCGCTTTCTCGGCGAATTTAAGACGCTTGCTCGAGTGCCTTATGATATAAAAATACATTATTGCAATTTCAGGTTTCCGAAGCAAGTGGAAAACGGTCTCATCGAAGTTTTATCTCCATCGTCATCTTATTACCCCGACTTTGACACGTTAGAAAAAACTCTTGGCGATTCGATGAAGCGCGTCAAATGGCGAACTAAGCAGAATCTGGACGCCATATATTTGATGTCCTATGCTCAAACCAAAGGCACCTTCTATCTGATGCTGGAAGACGATGTAATCGCCAAGAACAACTACATGCAGGTAAACAATTGATATAGTCACAACAATGTAATGTGACCATAATATACCTTAAAAATTGGATTATTGCATCCCTTTTTAAGTCATGTCATTTGTAATATTGTTGCTCATGCTTTAAATTGAGATTATTATGGTTGAAAATATAACATAGTTTAAAAAGTGATGCAATTCTGCAGTTCGCACTGGTTAATTATTAATAGGTACTTATTAAAGATGTAAGCATAAGAAATGCATCGCATTTGCGAACGACATATTCGATAGTTTGGTTCATTAATAACCGCTTGCCGCGAATTTGAAATCAATTTAAAAATTGCAATTCTGATTTTATGTACTTTGCGCTTTTTTCTACTTTTTATTAGTTATACGGTAACTTGATATGATGTTTTTTTTTAAACTAGCTAAGCGAACTAAGTTCTTGGTTACTTATAAGGACAGATGGAAATGTAACAATACATGCTGATTAGTGAATTCGAGGTATTTCGGAATCCAAGAAATGCTTAATAATGTAATAATTTTTGTTGCTTGCGTTGGTACTTTACAGTGTTTAGTGTTAAGAACATAATCGGAGACGTTACGAAATTTAAATGAATTTTAAATACAATGTTATATCGTTATTCCATATATTTGTGTTACCTCCATTTAACAAGCCAAACATTATTGAAATAGAAAATTCAAAGATGAGAAAAACAATTATCTAACGAGACGGTAATAAGAGCTGTTTGTTAACTAATACGTTTCTTTCGATATCAGATGCGCTACGAGAAATTTAATTAGGATCCAATTTTAAATTAAAGTTGTCGACGGCTACGAATCGAATTATTCGCGACGCTGCCTGCCGTATCAAATTGTATTAGCGAGAAATACTCTACAAGTTTTATCTGAATCTTAATTACAACATTAATCGTTTCCAATTGCTGTGGAAATAGATACAATCCCATTTCAAACTGGCGCAAGAATGCTTTTTAATACAATTACATTTTTACAATCCTCAGATTTTTATTTATTATTTTTATAGGTCTTGAACACTATTAGAAATACTTTTTCTACAGAGATTTTCAATCTCTTTAAATGGATACTAAACATTGTTCATGTTTGATTATTGATGTCAGCTGTCTTTACGCTTCATGTTTTTGACAACAAAAGCATTGATTATGGAAAATAGATCGTTACAAAGATATCGTTGATTATCTATTTCAGGAAATCAAGCAGTTTACAGCGGCGACAACTGTGTCTACACCGAACTGGTTCTTCATCGAGTATTGTCAAGTTGGTGGCATCGGCAAACTGTTTCGATCGTCTGACCTCATCCATTTTGTCACCTACGTGCAGCTGTTCTATAATAACATGCCTATCGACTGGCTGTTGGAGAGTTACCTTGCCGATCGTGTTTGTTCCATCGATAAGACTTCGGTAAGATAATTGACTGAAGATCTTCATTACCCGACTTCGCTTCTACTCGTATTCTATTTTATTTATATTTCTATCTGCTATCAAATTCCAATTTACTCACTTACGCATATCCTTTTATAACACGTCATATTTTCTTTTATATTCCCCTACTTTTGTAGCCATCCACATTTAATCTCATTACTTTATTTTGTGATCATTTCTCCGCATAATATGTCAACGCCACGACAACCTTTTACTCAATTTCTCTTTTACTGGCGCAATTTAAAGTCCTCCTATGTTATAAATTTATTTCGGCACATTGTTGAAATTACATCCTCGCGTATACGGAGATTTGACTACGTTACAGCTGTTTTGGCCTTATAATGGTACTGCTGACTTTTGAGTCTTTGGATAATAGTTATTATTATTTATGTACCTGTTTGTGAAAAGTATTCGGATAAATTAACTTATAACGTTTATTCTAATATTACAGAAAGCCTGCGGTAAAAGTAAAATCACAATTCGACCAAAGTACAAAACATCGCTTTTCCAACATATCGGACTCTACTCGTCCTTAAAGGGAAAGATACAAAAAGTCAAGGTAATTATTATAAACTTCTAAATATCACAATTACGTATATTTAAGTTTTGAGATAGGTCATTTTAAATTATTTTAGTTTTTAACAATATAACTATTGCCGACATCTTGTTATTAAAATGTATCAAAGTATTCTTTGTTAAAGTATACACAATACAAAATGTCTATTCAATAATTAAAATATAAAAATCGCATATAACATTATTACAGGATGCTCATTTTGGCTCGGTACCGACCTTCTATCCACACACCAACCCTCCTCTGGAAAATATCAAGACTAACATCGTAGAGCAAGGCGATCACACGCTGAAGAGGGCTTATGAAGGTCAAACTTATTTCTGGGGTATCAAGCCAAAGAAAGACGATATGATCGAATTTAGGTTTGAAAAACCAATGGCTATTAAGAGGTAATTATTGCATAAACCTTTTTCCTTATACGTAATTCATTTAATATTTTTGTATTCACGTATTGTTCCGATAGTCCGTACAAACCTTTAGGTTTAAACTTTAAAAAAACAATATTTTACGTATAATTTTTAAAGTTCGTGTAATCGATAAGTGTTTGTTTTGATTTCCAGCTACATTTTTCGTAGTAGCAACGTCGACCACGTGAATGACAAGTTCTATGACACCGTTGTGGAAGTGCTGCCATCTGGAACCAACAACTACACTGTTATTGGATCATTCGATGAATTCGGTCTCGCTGACGGCGAACTCAAAAAGGATGCCGGCCCATTTTCTGCCATCCGTCTCAGCGTTCAAAGTGACAGCTTCTATTGGGTCATCCTTAGCGAGGTGAATTTTAAGATTATTACGAATTGCATCTCGAGAATCTGTGCCGGATAAGTGCATAGTCGGTGTAGTGCTCTACGATATTTATTATTCTATCTAGTCTCGCCCTATGAGACTCCAGGGACTAAATACATATCTAATGACTTCTTTGTTTTAACGGTATAAAACATTAGTACAAATTTTGCTTATACTCAGTTTATTCCTAAGTTTAACTTTATACCGCGTTTATTTGTAAGGCTGTTAATATTTATGCCGTTATGAAGTCATAATAACTTTAATATTTGGAAGTAATATGAATGGTTCTATAACCAAAAGATTTATAGGGTACAGATAAATAGTAAGGACAAGAATTGTAACTTTTACAGAAACAATGTCTAGATATTTGTCACTGACTGTGAACACCTTTATTTAATTTATTAGTTAACATTTATAATTTGCGTTTTCAGATTGAAATAGTTACCTATGATGATCATGAGAACATAAGGTGACATAATACACGAACTCCCTGGGATAGATTTAACAAACAGATGAAGCCAGCGCATATAAAACGACACTACACGAGGATTAAGACTTCTGGACACCATCACTAAGCACCACAACATGCAATTTCGGACCCATCTTTTCACGACGATTTTAGGCTTACTACTGGACTTATCAAATTTCTTTTTAATATTTTCTTTATGCACAAAATTATTATTTGAACATCAACGTTATAAATTTCGCCAAGTATTTTTTTAAAGGTATCTTGTACGTACAGAAGTTTTGAATTTTATTTTTTTTAGTATGTATTTTTTACATCATCTAGTCATTTTTTTTATTCTTCAATATTTTATATCAAGTATACATTGAAGCTATTATTATTAAGACATAAAAAGTATTTAATTGTATTATTATAAAACATCCTATTTACGTTTTTATATTTTTACAGTTTTTATATTTTATAGTAGATACTTTTGTTTGTACATTCATAACACCTGACTGTAACAGCATTTTACGTTTAACAGATAACGCATAATTGAATCCGCTTTTGATGTTAGAAACTTTATTAAAAAACATGAAAACCAAAAAAACTAGACGTATACATAATAGTAAGTAGAGTACAATTGAGATGAATGCATGAAAATAACGAGTTTTAAATATATTTAATATCTAAATTAGTTTTTAATAATGAAGCTTTCAATTATGACCAAAAACTTTTACCCTAACCCTTACTTTCTAAATACCAAAGGCATTTATTTTTTAAATATCCAAAAATCTATGGAACTATAGAGCCAGTATATATATAGAAAAATAGGAATGTATATTGCGTTATACCAAATTAATGTACAAAACTATATGTTTTAAATAATGTATTACTAAAAGGGGCAATCAATGGTAGACACCTAATGTACTTTTACTATAACAAAATTTTAATTATTATTTCTTATTATCATATAATGTACAGTTTCAAATCAATTATTGTTATTATTTAAATAAATCAATGTAATGATTTAATTGGTCGAAGAAAATTATTTATGAAATTATAAATGACATCAATAAGCACGTACTAGTAACTTTTTGGAAAGTAGGATAACAAGAATAATTGCAATATGTAATATTATCTCCAATAGGTAATATTAAAACTTGATTCTTCACTATAATGTAGCTGGGAGTTATATAAATGCTTTGAAGTAAGATCTATAGAATATGTAAGTGGTTTCTACCAATGATTATCCCTCGATACAGATGATTTAAGCGAGATGTCGCACGATCGCCGCCACACTGTTATTTGACTGGACTGTGCCACAAAACCAACGTTAACCTAACACATCACAATATTACAGATACTCCTAGTTTGATGTTGTAAAACATTGAACTGTTTAGTCTGCAACAAAACAAATGTAGGCAGTGAAAACCTATTTTTAGAAAGTTACATTGCGACACAACGCCGCACCGCACTTGTGGCATCTCTCTTAGTTGTTCAATATTTATTATAAACAGACTGTAAATTGAATAAAGCTCAAAGTTTATGATTGCCAAAGTAAATAAATTTATCCACTATTTTTACTATTAGATCAAATTTTTTAGAGCAAAATTGTCAAAGCTTATCAACTGTATACCTCTACTAATACTATCCAACTGTTATGTTAATATAACCTGACAAAGTTATCTGGCCCGGTAAAATAGGCAATGGTAAAGCGGTTTTTTCTGTCAGATTTAACACCAACTTACATACTTAGCAAATTATGACAAGACAGATATTGTCACTGTTTATTGAGGTTGATTGGCTAATGAGGTAGTGTAACCGGGTCAGATAATGTTTTCGGTCTTTACATGTTTATTCAATTTCGAAAATAAATAAGATATATGAATATTCGTGTGTATGTTAAGGTTTTAGTACATTCTTCTGGGTTTCCTCATAGTTTGTTTCGAAGCTCTGTCTAAATCTTCGAAATTTGTCATTTTAAAAGACATTTGTGTTTCATTGGGCAACTAAAATTATTTTTTGGATTTCCATAATTTAAGGGAAAACGTTATAATATGTTTAGTGAAAGAGATTTACGCTAACGGGTAATTAAAACCATTAAACGAGCCTGAGTGACGCTTTCCTGTTGGCAGATTATTATCCAGATCTTTCGTATCACAATAATCAGATATTGCTTTCACCATTTACTAAGGAGCAGATAAAATGTGATGATTATCTAGAACAAAATCTTGAAACATTATAAGTAATCCAAAACTACGATCAAATCCTTAAAATTATTTTAATAAAAGTGCTATATTCGTTTTAAAATGATCAAACCTATAACATATATTTATGTTATTTTAATCTAGAGTTTATAAGCTTATAATATTGAAGACGCTAATTGTTGAGCTCTCAGTTCCTACTATGTACCTTTAAATTTACTTTTGCTGCATAATATTGATACATATTTTTCATAACCTATTTGTAGTTTATTTATAACATAACAGATACTATAATGTAAATCTTTTGAATTAATTTCCAGATCCATTTATTTTTGATATAAAGCTAAATTTTTGTCACAATCACCTTTTATCTGAATTTCAGTTTATCATATTATTTTATTTCCTTAATCTAATTTATCCGTCTATTGTTCTGGCTTACGAAGTCTCATAAAAACATAATAAAGTTAAATTGTAAGTAGTTGTAATTGATGTATTTTAGAAGTAAGATTTTTCTTAGGTTTTCGTGTATTTTAGACGAAAAATTAAGTCAGGGTACACACGTGGACTTTGTCCTTTATTTTAGTTTGTGTTTAATTTGGGATTGTACAAGTTTGAATGAAGGTATGGCTAGAAATCAAGAAGTCTACAGGGATAGTGGGAAAGTGAGAGTAAGGCCTTTATATAAAGGATCGGTAGGAAATGGTAGGTGGGTGTAGGATTTCAAATCGTTACATTTATGCCAAAGTCAGTAGTTAGGTATAAATAATAAATAATACTAAAACGAATAATGTTGTAATGAATTGTTACGATAGTAAATTGTTTACTGTTGGAATTAATGTATGGATTCAACAAACATTATTAAAGAACAAGTTTGTTGCATAACTCTGTATTCATGAAAAAATACTCTAATTTAAATTTATACGTAATACATTTTAAAATGTTCAAATTCAGTCAAATAAGTATTATTAAAAAGAACAGTAAACTACATACGATTATAAAGTAAAAACTGTAATAACATCATAAGAAAATTAATAAATTTTGACATCATTATGATCCTTGTTATATGACTAAAGTGAAAGTTGCCAAGTTGTACAAACACGCATGAATGGCTTAATGGAGTGGAAATTCAAACTAAAATATTATTCTCTTATTCATGTATCCTAGTTTAAACGTAACAATTGTCAGCGAAGCGTCACAAAAACGTATTCACGCAACATCACATACATTTCAAAGGAACAGTGGAAGAATTAAATTCGCTACCTTACAATTATAGAATATTGCTATACACTGTCGCCATAGCACCTATGATTTAGCACCTTTATTACTGTATTAAATTTTCTACTATGTAAGCGTCAAATATATCAATGAAACGCATAGGCAACATAAGGACTTACTAAATTTTAGATCTAATGGTGACTGTTAGCGATAATCGATCCTAAGAAATTTAATTCTTTAACTGCAATGTTTTTGTTTGTGTTACAATATTAAATTTTTTATTTTGTTTATATCGTTTTTGTAAACTCGTATTTGTGAAGTATGTTTAAATTGCTAAAACGTTTGTTAATTTATTGGTATTCCTTTATCAAAATCGCGTGAGTTTTATTTTATGTAAATCGAATAAGGACAAATTGTGTTTTTGAATGTATTCAAACATCTTTACTTATAAGTATTTTATTTGTTACGTAAAAATAATTTAACGATTCTATTTTCATTGCCGAAATATTTGTAGAAACGTCTGTTTCTCAAATACTTCCGTGTAACAACAGACAATCCGTATGCGTACAGATGTTACGGCAATGGAAACTAACGTTTATTATTTGTAAATAGTGTACCAATTGATTTTATTACTAAGAGTTATTTCGTGACAATGTTAATTTTTGATACAATTTTCTACGTTTCGTTTATTATGTTTTAAAACTAATTTAAACGCGTATGAATGTTTAGATCGTGAATACCTAATTCTTCAAATAAATACCTTTATTATTTAAAACCGTTCAGCTTAGTTTGTAACAACTGGCATTTTATGTATTGCAAGTAAATTCCAATGTCAACAACGTTTTACACAATAATGTAACCTATTTGCAGTGTAACAGGATCAGAACAAAAAAGATTTTATTCCGCATTAATGAAGAAGGGTTATTTGTAATAGTGAGTTTTTACAGTCCTAACACTCGTACAAAATATTTCTGTTATTTCATTCTTTTCAAATAGAATGAAAAGGACGGTAATGACTTTTGTACGACTGTCGGGGTAGTGGAATTTCAAAATAAAATAGCAAATTTTATTACATTTATTGTAATAAAATTGATCGATGTAATAAATCCTTGAGTGATTGGGAAAAAATAACACTATCCTAAAAGTAAAATATGTAAAAGAAGTGGTAATCGAACGTTGTATCAGATGATGGGAATTTTATTAATTTGACAAAAGAAAATAATATTAATTTACGAATTATACATTTGAAAATATTAATTTCCTACAGATTTATTTCGTAGATAATCATCAATGCACGATTTTTAAATATGTAGTTATTTATTCATCTAATAGTAATAAATTTGATGTCATAAATGTATTCGTTATTAATGTAATGTAGATTCAAGTAGAATGGACAAAGACTTGATTTCACAAAGATCAACGTAAAGACTAGATAACTTGATTTGTGAAAGATATTGTCATCTCTATTTTTTTCGAAAAGAATGAACGAGATAAGAATATCTTTTTGTACAGATTTTGAAAAAATCAAATGTCTGGTTAAGAGTACCCGTTTCCTAACTACTAGGGAATGGAAAGATTGAGCCTTTAAGTACCTAGGCTATCAGACATGATGTAAATAACAACATTACTTGTAGTTCAAATAATCTAGTCTGTTGATTGACTTCAAATTATTCCAGAACAGATTTGTCATCATTTAAATGTGTTTGTAATGTTTTCTTGTAATTTACGCTAGTGTTTTGGGTAATTGGGTTATGGAAGCCTCCTTCGGGTTACAAAAGGATCTCCTTGCCCTGCCCATAAACATTCTGCATAGTTTACATTTTTTGCAGTTATGTACTGTTTATTGTATTTCTACATACTACACAGGCTTTGTTTATTGTTCACTTGGATTTTATATTGTTCGTCGTTTGTCATTTATTGTATGCAATGCCAACAATTTTTGAATTATTTAGTATCACAAACTTATTTGGTGCGATGGTGACATAGTTATCGTGCGCAGTAACTGCAGTACTCAGTTGTTTAAATAAAACAGTACCTTTACCTACAGTTAGGTACTTCTTTAGTGACTATTAGACAACTCTGAAGGTGGCAGTAGGGTTTAGAGAACACACAAGACGAGGCAAGTCAAAATGACAATTTTGGTTTCACTTTGCCCACCGCAGCAGATAAGTTTGTTATCCTGTAATGGTCTTTGTCGTTGTATTCAATGTCAATGTTCAAAATAAAGTGTGAAAAAGTAGTGGTTTTTATTTACTCCCATAAATTATAAGAATTTATCGAATTATCGCTACTTCATTACAAGTATCACGATTTCTCAATATATCATTGAACTTAACATAAAAATGAATAAAAGAACATTTTGGCAACAGTTCTCCGGTAGCCCATTTTCAGTGTTTTATAATTCTAACTTGTTTTATTTTTTTTAAGTCGGTCTAGTGGTAAACAGATAAAAAGAGACGCTTCGTCAACTTTCTAATGAGAACTAGCTAGAAGCTGACAGATATTGCATAAACCGGTTACAACGATTCTTGGACCATAAACTCGTACAACCTTGAACCCCTTTAACTATTTGTGTCCTCAAATTTCACATTTGTACAAAATAAATAATGCTTTAAGATATCAACATTGCTAGAGCACACTTTGTAGTAATATAAAAAACAGGAGACTTAATAGGTACAAAGTGTTACATTTAACTTAGACATTCCCAGAAGGAATACAAGCAATAACACCTCACTACAAAATCCGTCAAACTTTTGTCTCATGACATTGTCCTATGCCACCTAAAAATGGTGTATAATGGATGTATTCATTAGGTTATGAAATTAATAACGGAAGTAAAGTGTTTTCGAACCACTATCGGCGTGGAGTAACAGCACGGTTACGCAAGGCGCTAACGAGCACTCCGCATGCTCGCTTATACAATCAGGAACATTTCGCTTTTTTATCGACATTTCATACTAAATTGAAATTGGAATCATGAATATTTATATACTAGCCGTTTTATTTATTTAGAGATGATGCAATTAATGCAAAATTTGTAGAAAGCATTATAATAATGGCATATATTTAGTGAGTTAATCTTATGTCTATTAAAACGTATACTTAAAGCCGGCCACAGATCTTCAGTTTTAATTGAACAGTTGAATTGTACAATTAAAACTTGTGTGTATACAACAATTTTAACTGACAGTTAAACAATCAAAAAAATAAAGTTCACAGTTTTGTCTACAAACGTCAATATTAATTCCAGATAAAACGTTAAAAAGTTTTGGTCGTAAGTGGAAAGTAATAAATTGTGTCTTAACATATTTTATTATCACAACATTATTTTAAAACCGGAACATACCTTAATATAATACAAAGTTGTTTAAAGTCTAATAAAAATGTTGCATTATACACATATAAAAATTATGAAACTAATAAATTCACAAGAAAAAATGTCACATTTTCACGTCCTTGGGATCACTAAGGCTTTGAAAGGTGCCGCGGATGGAGTGGCGCCATCTATGTGATCTAAAGAAGGAAGAGGTTCGCCTGGAAACGGCAGGAAAGAAAACTTCTGCAGCATGCTCGTCGTGAAGATGAAGATGTTGCATTTAGCGAGCACATCTCCCATACATCTGTGCTTCGATAGCCCGAATGGAAAATAGTGCTCAGGTAAAGAAAGTTTTCCGTCAACGATGAATCTCTCTGGTTGGAATGTGTACGGCTCGGGAAATAGAGTTTCGTCCATCAAGATGTTGGTGAAGTTGCTCACCACCATTGTGTCCTGAAACAACGATAGTTTAAAATAGACGTTTTGTAATGATTGCTGTTTAGACCAGCAACATTTAATACAGTCGCTCGTAATCAACATTGCAGTTGGAATCAATGGGTACGTTACACAATTTGGTTTTCTCGAATGGTATAGGTAACTACTACTTATCGTTTTCTCACTTTACAATTAAAATTGAAATTAAGACGTTTATATTTTAAGATTGTGAATAAAAGTCGTCCTCATTACCGTAATTGATAACTTTGCTGTTGACAGTAACACGCATGTTACAATCAATACTACTGTTGAAAATAATTAAAAAAGAAAGTCTTTAAGGCATCCAATATACTAATTAAGATTAATTAAATGAGTTTTAAAAAAGTGTTCTACAAACAATATGTAAATACAATTATTCACCTCTGGGATATTATATCCAGCTAGAGTAGTATTACGAAGAGCTCGATGTGGTACACCAAACGTTCTCCCCATAAAATGTCGAACAGATTCGTGAACTATCGCTTCGTTATAAGGCATGCTGGAACATACAAAGATATACCTCAGTTGTTTTCATTACAAATAAATTCATCAAGTAGCTATAATAAAGTTGAAGACTCCGCTTACTTTGGTCGATCATCTAGCGTCGGCAAACGATTTCTTCCAATAACCCTATCAATTTCTTCTTGTGCTTTTCTTTGCACATCTTGGTTACGAACCAAATAACTGAAGCCAAAACTCATGCTCTTACTGGTTGTTTCTGTCCCAGCCATAAACATATCCATACACATTGCAACTAACTGACCTTCCGAATACGTGTCTCTCTCCCCGTATTCTCTTAGATTCCGTAAATATACACCCATGAAATCCCTACTATCAACATCCGTATCCAGATTTTCTTTATGTCTTGCAATTTCTTCTCTTAAAAATCTCCATATTCTTTTGTGTGTTCTAATAAAATCTTTGTAACCAGACATCTTAGGAGCAAGAATGGCCAATATTGGAAAATGGCTAAATAGTGCACCAACCATGTCGACATTCCGAAATAGATCGAACAGGAGATCCTGGAGTACTTTCATTTGGGGATCACTCGCTTGATATCTTATTCCTGCCATCATAGTCCACAGAGTGTTTAAGATGTAAGTGTTGAAAAAGTTGTGCATGTATATTCCGTTTCTGGCTCCATCTTTGCTTATCAAATCTGCGACGTCATCCAACATAAAGGATGCCTCGGTGCAAGCTATATCACCCATACCTTTTCTACCAAATCCGAATTCTTTTAGATGCTTAATTAGAAATCTTCTTTGTTCTTTCCATAACTCACCATCAGTCAGAAGGACGCCTTTTCTTTCACCCCAGGTTCGTGTCTGATAAAAAATACCTTTCGGTCTTCCGTCTATGTCTTCGTTATATAGCATCTCTTTGTTTGCTTCAAGTGAGTTCACCATTACCATTTTGTCTTTACCGATCTTAAGACCAAGGAGTGGTGAATCTTTACAGTAAGTATTACATAATTCTTTAACAGCTTTATATAAATAGCCAGTTTTTTCACGCAATTTATTGACTTCGCCTGCGTTACCCACTATAGGATACCATTTAGGTCCTGGTGGAAATTTTCTAGGCTTAAAAGTGCTTTTAACCAGGAGCAAGAAGATAATACATATTGCTAGTATCGCTAGCCACATCTGAAACAATACAAAGATATCGATTAATTACTTAAAAGAACCAAAATAAAAATAAAAATTCAATCCAAATAGTTTAGCAGAGACTTTGTTGTTTGTTGTTGACGCAAAAGGTCTGTCTTAATAATGTAATTGGTTTTATAACCTGATGTTTTAAATTTAATTTTGTAAGACATAAAAAATTGTAATTTAACTTCAAAAACAAATGATAACGGATCGAAAGAAATTATCCAATTAATCCATAAGAAAATAAAAACAAACGTATTTATTAGCAATCGCATTGTGTCAGGTTTACATACATCTAAATGTTGCAAGTATGCTAAGATGTAATCGAGAATTTGTACTGTTGAAACAAGTCAACAATCATCTTAGGTAGATTAGTAAGATGATTTAGCAAGATTTCGCATTTATTTCATCTATAATGAATCCATCCACCCATTATAGTCATATAATAAATGAGAATGTTTAGAAGGATGGGTGGATGTTTGTTAGAGTTTGTTGCCTAAACTGCTTGACGGAACTCGATGATATTTGGCATCATTTTTTTTAATTCCACGCGAACGGAGTTGCAGGCGAAAGCTAGTATAAATAAACTGTCATTCTGTCTTAAAAACTGTTTTTACAAAAATTATTGCATAATTGTTTGTCGCAGAAAACGTCTTCAGCCTGGGTAGGGTTGAAGACGAGGCTTTGCGACATCCATAAAAAAATATTGTTCAAGTGTGCAGCGGACATTTCTATACTATTTTATTCAACAGTTTTTGAGGAACTAAATAAAAAAAAATGTATTTCATCTAATATATAAACTTACTATTACTAATTGAAATATGATTATTTATTAAACATAATAAAGATTTTAATTCGTAATGAAATAATTTGACTAGTTCATTAAGGACCTCGTTCAATCCTATATTCAAAGCGAACAGTGAGGAGAATTTGTAATAGAAACTTTGAATAGTGTCATTAAATATATTATTGTTGTATCTATAGCTTTAAACAACCCTAATGAAGCTTACTGAATAACAGCGTGACTGCAACTGAATACCTACATTCAACGCTATCAAAACTTGCTATCCGCATAAAGGAACATTGATAATAAGCATTTCCGAGATTCTCCTATTCAAGTTAAATTGCTTGTAAATTTCAATATACTGGGATTAACTAACCATTTGTGATGCAAATTTCTACAATTATAATATTATATTGATATCTTGAAACATTCGCAATGTTTAATTTATATCGTTAATAAATAATAAGTATTTTATAAGAAACAAACTTTCAACTGTTCAGTTAAAACTGTCAGAATTGGCTTTACAATCGTATGTAAAACGCCCCACAAAAACACGTATTTGTCAATTTCATTCAATAGGATCAAACGCAGTGTAAAAAATAAGAATTTAAATTGAAGTACAACATACTACTAACTACTATACTATTACTATTACTATTAATTAATTAATATTATAAATGCGAAAGTTTAGATGGATGGATGTTTGTTAGAGTTTGTAGCCGAAACGGCTAAACGGACTTCATTGAAATTTGGTAAAATGTAGAGCTTAGTCTGGAAGAACACATAGGCTACTCCCTTTTGTTTTTTATCCACGCGGACGGAATTGCAGGCGACAGCTAGTTTGTAAATAATTTCGTAAGTAGTTAGTTGATATTTTATGGTTTCGTTATTAGCACTAGGGTCAATAAGGGAAATGATGACACAGGTAAAATTACACATTACTTAAACATTAAAATACACTAACCTAAGTTTTACAAATATAATGTTATTACATTCGCCAGCGGGAGCAAAATAAAACCAGAATAATCAAACCCGTTTCGCTGAGCATGTCTTGCCAAAAACCAACATTACCTTAGTATTGCGAACCGCGGACAAGCTTTCACTAGGCCTGATTCGAAAATTTTCGAAGTATACCTGCCAATGAGAATCACGCGGCACCACGATACACTGAACACAGCGTAACGTTGCGTGCGAAACGAGCGAAATTTACACTTTCGTATTTGCTATCACCGCCATTCACCGGCAACGTTCTTTTACCGACTGAGAAACATTTTCTTGGTATAGTCGATGCAAAATTCATTTACTGGTGGGGAAAGGATATGACAGAAAGTGGAGAGGAACGGCAAGTATTAACGCGGTAGATGCCCTCTCTCTGAATGATTTGGTTTGGTATGCGAAAGAAATCGAAAAACTAATTAAGAAATAATTTGCAATCTGCCGTTATTATTAGAATTGGAAACCTTGTCATAATTTTTGAGGCCTTAAAAGAAACAAGTTAAAACTAACATAGGTACAAATTTGACTGAAGACTTTCACTTTACTACTGGTGAAAACATTTCAGTATTTTAAAAGTAAGTTCTTTAATTAAGCAAAAGTAACTGGACGTAGTGGATGCGTTTCGTTTCTTTATGTTTTTGTCTTCTTTCTCTACTTTTCTTGTTTACAATAGTGGACGTATTGTATACCCTATCGATTTGACGACACAATAGTGTAAATATAGTAATTTTTCAATCAATAGTTATGTTTTGTAGAAGTGTTTGGGCACTGCGACCTCACTATCCTGTCCTGGAAAGATAAAATGAACTAATCAATTCTAAAGAAACAACACAAGCTTTACTTCGCAAAAAGTTTGACATAGCGAAGTTGTTTTGAGAAGAGAATCCTCACGTCCTATTTAATTACAATTTCTAAGAAATCAGTGGTACTTATTATTTGATGCCCATTTTCTTAAGCGCGAAGGATTTGAAATTGGCAGGTGCTCTATTTACTTCTGTAAATTGTTCATCTATCTACATTTTCAATCATACAACTTACTATGATAGATTAGGTATTCTTGGAATCTGCAATGACCCATTCAAAGGGGCTTCAGTACGTCTCAGGGGTTCTAAAATCAACTGCGATGTTTGTCTTTGTATTTGACCTATACCATCAATTTGAACAATCTTGTTTCAACCTACCCCCAATATTTGGTATTCTCTGTTTTGTTCATTTATGTGAATTAATCTAAACTCTTTAACGATTCAACTCAATAATCTACATTGTTTTCAAAGTGAGTTTACAATTAGGTCAATAGTTCTGTAAGATATATAAATATCTTAGCTTAGTAAAACGGATTTAGTAAAAGTAAGATTTCTTCTGAACTGATAATAGTTTAATTCCGGCAAAGACCTAGTTGTTTCAAAGTCTAATATTTATCTTTATACATAAAGGTGGTGTCGTACTTTCAGCGTATACAAGAATTAATTAGAATATAACAAGAACGGCATTGACACAGTTTTTTTTATTTGCAAGTCCGTCTTTTAAAGTTTATTTGTGCCCGTGCATTACGTAAAACGTCTAAGTCAATTTCTTTTCATTGCAAAAGTTATGACCAGTAAAGTTTCACGTGAAACTATAGTATTAAAAGTGACGTCATATTCTTTAAATCCCGACTTGTACTTTCGACTGGATAAAAAATAAATGTTAAGCGAAGTTATGAAACAATGGACATATTTGTTGCATTATAAGATCCTGTGCATAACTTATAATATTTTAGGAACATTTTTATCTGTAAACATTTAATTTAGTTTTAAAGGTTCCTCTGCCTTTGATTTTAAGGTCAAATGAAACTCAGATCTTCGTGTAAATATCGGTTAGCCTTTAGAATATAAAACTCCTACCTACGATTTAAGCGGAGTTCAACAAAACTCATGTTAATATAAAATTTAAGACAACAACAGTCTCTACTAGCAAGGAGCGTAGTTAGAAACGAAGATCATTTAAATTAATTGCTTCGAGTCTCGTGTCGACCTGCAAATCGCATTAATTCAGCGGTAGATATTAGTTATTGACATAGCGCTTACTTGGTCTAATTAAGTTGCTCAGACTCTCAAGGCGACAAAAGCAAGTTCAAAGCACAGCTGATTGACTTTGAAATAAATTTATTTCCATTTAGATTTTATCCCTTTAAACGTAATGTTAGTACGTAACTACTTATTTACTTTAATTTGCATTTATAATAATGATGTAATTATTTTTCGTTTACTTAATAATTAAAATGTAACTATTATAAATATTAAAATCTAAATATCGACAACCATAGTGGTTAAGTTATTAATGATTTATGTTATTTAAGGCTAGTCTTGATTTTTAATGAGAAATGTACACTGAGAGCGAGGCATAAGATCTAGCCTAGGTCTAGGGGGAGGGAGGCAGCCACCCCTGTTGCCCCTAGCGATGCCGATGGATAGATTCTAAATAGGACTTTTTATACAGGCACCATTAAACTGTCACTTAACGTGGGTTAACGGGCAGTGGGGAATCTACTAAGATAAAATTAAATCAACTTCCTCCATTCTTACTTTGAACAAACCGTAATTGTTCAACAAATTGACCAAATTGAGGTGTCTGACATGATATCGGTACAAAGTGTTATTTTGTTAATTACATTACATCTTAGCATATTTCTTCTCTTTACGAAAGATTAACAAAGGGAAAAACTCTTTTGTTTTAAACCTTTGGAAAGTTTTAACAGTTAGTTACAGAAATATAACCGTTTATTTCCTCGCTTTTCAATTCATATGCTCCATAAGTTTAAAACGTTCTCACTTAACTTACTGCAAACTTGTCACATACACTCCAACGAAACTTAACCTGAGTATAAACGTGCTGTCGCCAGCAAATTAACTTGGCGAACTCTCCAATTAATCTTTAAGAACAGGCTATAATGAGAAAAGCGAACTTAGAAATGTTGAATACTTCACAATTTCCGCGTGAAAATAAAAGGTGTATAAACATCTAAGAATATTACATCGTCACAATAATAAAGCGGTCTTGTATGAGTAATCATACTAATCATACTTTTTCATACTTACTCATACTAAATTATAAATGTGAAATTTTAGATGGATGGATGGATGTTTGTTAGAGTTTGCAGTCTAAACTGCAGAACGGATCTTAATAAAATTTGGCATAGATATAGAGGATAGTCTGGAAGAACACATAGGCTTACTTGATTGTGTTTGTTTAATATCACGCGGACAGAATCGCCGGCGAAAGCTAGTTATAAATAATTAAAAGTTTATTCGAGATATCGATTGTTGTAAACTAATTTACTATAGCTTACTAGTCCCTGTCGATGTTGAAAAAAAAACAAGATCCATGTCATGTTGTAGTTGTCTAATTGCATATTTTTTTTGGTCATTTTCTATCCCCATGAAGGTTTTGAGTTTTACAAACTATAGTTAATATTTTCATTACAATAGTCTACTTTATTTTTTTATTTTATGTCCGCAGTAGCTTTAGTATTTTACTTAGTGCCATATAAAATAGAGCAGAAGCTGTTGTTTGTTGAATACTGTGTTTTAAGTGAATAGTTTACTGGCGTGCAGGCTACCTGTTTCAGATAAACGTAAACAGATTCAAAACCGGTAACATGGTAACCGTGTTGCGAAAGTTACGATGCTATCGACTTTTCACTCTCGATAAGATTGTAACTCCCAGTACACCTGATCTCGAAGTTGTTCTGTTTATGCAAAATTGACATTTCTAAACGTCTGAATAGAAATCAAAATGGGATATTGAAAAGGAATATTTTCAATAGCGGACCTAGGAGTGTAATTTTTGTATATAAACAATAATAATACCATATATTTCTTAATAATATCCGTTACTTAAACCTAACACGACGTATCAGTTATTATTTTCCTTGTACAAGATAAATAATTTGTTGCCATTTAGCACAAGAGGTTATTTAGGTCAATGTGACACGCGACACGCGACACGATCCCTCTCTTATATACTTTGTTCCTTGTTAACAGATTAAATAGATTGATTTCTTTAAATTTATATATTTTTTTCTCTTATCAATTTGTTGTATAACACAGTTACACGTGTATACTTAGTTACTTCGTATATTTCAAGATTAGTTACCTTTACTATTTTTTCAATTAAGTGTAGTTTTACATGTTTCGATCTATCTTTAATTTACTTTCATTCTTACTGCCATGAAATTTGGTATCAATTAACTGTTTGGTGAGTGCTTATTTAAAATCTACCTGAATAATTTTAAAACACAGAGCTTAATTAGTTGCAGTTAATTTTCACGAAAATGTAAAAAAAAAGCAAACAGTGTTTTAATGTTTATGCAAAATGTTGATATTTAATTTTTGCAGGCGCTTTCTAACATTATGATACAACCTTCACATATCTGCAAGGGAATTTAAAAATATGTCTGAGGTCATTAACCCGACTGAGCCAGCGATTTTGACTAGTCTAGTCACCCCTAACTTAGAAAAGATGATGGTGTGGTTACAGGTTTTTTTACAACTTGTATCATCAAACCGAAACGAGTAGGAATTTAACGTTTTGGACCGAACACGAGTAGGTATCATTTTGTATAATGCTAAGCGTAGGTGTATAATGACATACCATTGTGCATTGTTCACGAGGCACCACGACGTAGACCAAGCACGTGGAGATATTAAGCTTCTCGGAATATTAAACGGACATATTATTATTATAAACCATGATATGGGTTATAGCACAATGTATCTCATATTACTTACTACTCGTATATATTTTACGTAAGGTCATATTTTACAATATGATTTTATTATCACTAATAATTTTCAGAAAACCACAATAAAAGTCAAATATCAAACATGTATGCCAGGTTTAGAATTTGGTTTACCTCTGCTTCATCGAAACGAAGGCCACAGAGTATTGAAATCGGCGGTTTGAGTGTGCATGTTAAAACTTTTTTTTTTTAAATAACTTGGCCAATATTCATTAGTTCAGGAAAGAAATAAATGGTGTCCCTATCTATACCATTTTACCCTTTATTAATTAGTTACTAACTGTTCCCGTGCGGATTCATCCGGAAAAAATTATAAAAGCTTTATTTTATTATTTACATATGTCAAGTTCTCAATTACAAATGTCAAAATGACCGTTACCATAATAATCTTGCTTCCTAAATGTTAGCAGCTTGTAGGTTATGGTTTAAAACATACAACCTGAAGCTTGTCGCAAGTGTAGGGCTCTTTATT